AGTGTTTAAAAGTGTCTAACGTGGAATGCAAAAGAAATGTTTCATTATTCATTGAAATTCTAACGTGGCTTCCTTTCCCAAACATGAGAGAAGAATTGTTCACCTACAGTCACCAATGTTCGTGAACTCCGAAGGGGATATTCATGAAGAAGAAGAATCGTTCATGGTGAGTGACTCCTAAGAGCGCATTCGTAAAGAAGAAGAAGTCACATTTGGATCTATTCACATTAGGTAAGTGTTGTGTTTAGGGATCTTGTTGCCATGCTATATCATGTATGAGGTACATGAATTTGGATCCAAAGGAGTTTGTGCCAGACTATTACAAGAGGGCGACATATGAGGTTGTATATCAATCAATGATATATCCAGTAAATGGACAACAACTATATGGACAAAGACATGGTGCACTGATGTTCTTCCACCACCATCAAAGAAAATGCCAGGACACCCTAAGAAAAGAAGAAATTTGGAGTCATGGGAACTAAAAAAGGATGAAACTCAATTGAAAAGAAATGGATATAGGAGAAAGTGCAGCAGGTGCAAAAGTTTTGGCCATAACATATCTACTTGCAAGGAAAACCCAAGTGATACTCCAATACCAAATGAAGCACCTCAGCCCACCCAACCATCTCAACAGACCCAACCCTCTCAGCTCACCCAACCCTCTCATCCCACCCAACCCTCTCAACCCATCCAACCATCTCAAACATCTAAGGAAAAGAAATCAACAAAGTCATCTTAGTCAAAGAAAAATTTCAAGGAGAAGTTGAAGCCTAGGAAAGCACGACCACAATGGAAACCATGACAAAGTTGAAGATTGTTGTGTGTTGGTTTTATTTTGAAATAGATAGTATTTTGTGTTTAGGGTTTATTCATGATTTATGATGTAGTAGACTTTTGAGACAATGTTTTGTATGACAATATTAAGTATTAATTATATGACAATATTTAAGTTTATGAGACTATTATGTATGACATTACGTGTGACAATATTAAGTAAATGTGATAAAAAAAAATATGCTAAGTAAGAGTCGTGAGAATCACCCCATGATTCTCAATCACGCTCGTGATTCTCACGGTGTGAATCACATAAATAAATCTACTAAGTAAGAATCATGAGAATTACGCCTGTGATTCTCAGTGTGAATCACATAAAAAAAATCAACTAAGTAACATTTCTGGGAATCACGCTCATGATTCTCAATCACGCTCGTGATTCTCAATCACGCTCGTGATTCTCAATCACGCCCGTGATTCTCAATCACGCTCATGATTCCCACAGTTTGAATCACGTCAATAATTTGCTATTTACCAACACGAGAATCACACCTGTGATTCCCACAGCGAAAGTCACTTTAGAAATGTGCTATGTACGAGTGTGAGAATCACGCCCGTGATTCTCAATCACGCTCGTGATTCCCATAGCGTGAATCACGTCAATAATCTACTACGTAGGAGTGCCAGAATCACACCCGTGATTCGTAATCATGCCTGTGATTTCCACGGCGTGAATCAACTCAAAAAATTTGTAAAATAGAGTGCGAGAATCATGTCCATGATTCTTAATCACAATCGTGATTCGTCCCAACGACTTCATGCAATGTCTATAAACAGGAAACAACATTTAATGCAAGATCTAATGCATTAAATGAAAGATCGAACTAGTCATGAACGACTACATCCTGCTTCAA